TTACTGTTTGCCACCCCATCTCATTCTCCCTCCCTCTCTCTCCCTAAACCCCCCTGGAGTCTGTGAAGTGTGAACAGACGCTTTGCTGTCTCAGCTTGGCAATCTTTGATCAACGCAGGGTTGCCAGCCTTCAGTCGGACAAGGTCAGAGGAGCGAGATGACAGTCTGTGTGTTGTCAAAAGCAGGGAGGCGCCACCTGTTTGAGAATAAATTCTGCTCACTCTCCCATCTACCTGCACCCTTAATGCCAAAGAGCTTCAAACTGAGTGGAGTCAACAGCTTGTTTTATAGAAGTAGGCCTCTTCATTGATATGTCCATTAGACGTGTCCCCAGGTATCCTTGTCAAACTCGCTGCCTTTGACAATAACCAACCTTGGGCTCTATGCAAATGTGTGTTGCGCCGTGAGTTACTGACTCTCAAACAGCAGACGGGATCACTTCTAAGCCTGCCTGTGCATTGGTCTGTGTCAGTGCAGCAGATAAATGCCTGTACAGTTTGTTTTCCTGCTCCGATAGCGAGAATGAAATCAACAGGCAAGCTGTGTCGCTGTGTAGTCTTTTTCAGGCAGTCTTAAGCCCAATCCTCTTTGCTTCCCTCTAGGGTGGAATTTGAATGACCTGATCAATTTCTAATCAGGAAAGACCTGCAGCCTTTCTCTCGTTGTAATGGAGTTTCCCACAGATCTTCTATATGGCAGGCTTGCTCTGAAATTGTTAAGAGCAAAGGGTAGGTTGCATGTTTTCTAGGGTTCATTTTTCTGATGTCTTTTTTGACCTGCATTGCAATGAATGCATTTTATCACCAGTGTGAATCTGCTGTTACCTAAATATAGAGGTATTTGTGGAATCCTAAACACCACTGCACATCACAATGAAGCCCGGGCCCTGGATAAAGGCAGAGGTGGCCTTTTCATGTTGGAAATGAAACCCCAGGAGGTCTGCCTGCTTTGTGCGTCAAGAAAAGCCACGCTCCAAAAAATACTTAATGATATTCTGGAAATTTTATCAGCAGTGTGTTTCTGAATAACTCTATAGGCTCCGTAGTAGGTTGAACGTGGTTTTTACTATTGCTTCCCAACTATTTTTAGCAGACACCCCTCATGGAGCAGTTTGAGTACGCTTTCACTGACACTACATGTCATGCTGTAAATGTATTTGAATTTTAACACAGGGCTTGTCATATTATATCACAGTTTCTCTAAATAATTACCGTGGTCAAATTCTTCTTTGTGTTTGCCTTTTAGGGGTTTTTTGGTCTTGATTTTGCTGGGATTTGTGGATTATCCAGTGTGTATTCTGGGTATTGGCCCAAAGCAGGGGTAGGCAACTCCAAGCCTTGAGTGCCGGTGTCCTGCAGGTTTTAGATATCATCCTGTGGTTATCTAAAACTGGCCTCTGGAGAACTTCAAGCCATGTTGGGGAGGTAATTTAGCCATTTGAATCAGCTGTGTTGGAGGACAAGGACACATCTAAAACCTGCAGGACACCAGCACTCAAGGCCTGGAGTTCGAGACCCCTGGCCTAGAGGCCTGTGGACAGTGGGAAGCCCTTCTGATCCTTCTGGGAAAAAAAAAAAAAGACTTTCAGATTTTTATTCTGTTCAACCACTAGTTTTGAAACCATACATTATACAGCCATGCAAAACAGAACATTTCACGGGATTCTAAGCAGTCCTGTGAAAAACCAAATACACTCTATGATTTAGTCGTTTGTAAAACAACCTTCAGCAGCACTAAGTTAATCATTTTCCGCATGACTTTATTAGTCTTTCAAATTGTTGTGGAATTTTGTCCCACTCTTTTTTGCGTTACTTCAGTTCTTTGAGATGTTTGTTATGTAGGGCTTTCTAATGGTCCTGATCAGGTTTGCTTGGATTAACACCTGGATTCTGTTTTCAGCCATTCTGTTGTAGATTTGTTCCTGTGCTTGGGATCATTGTCTTATTGCACGAGGCAATTTTGGCCAAGCTTTAGCTGCCAGACAGATAACCTCACATTTGACTCTAGAATACTTTGATATTCGGAGGTGTTCTTGGTCAACTCCGTGACAGCAAGTTGCCCACTTCTTGTGGGCATGAAATAAGCAAGTTAATCCAGACGTTAGCTGCTGCAACCATCACAGTGGACTCATGACCTGAAAGTGTGGTCAGAGCTAAAGGAAGAGGCCAAACTAGCTGGAGAAGCAAATAACCACTAATGTTGTAACAATGATGTAATGATGTGCTGATCTGCTGTCTCCTTAAAAGTGAAGTTTCACCATAAATCTACCCTCCGAAGGGAATATTCTTATTTTGCCTAGACGAATGAATGTGAATGTGTCTAATTATAAAAGAAAAAGAAGATTTAACACCAAATCCAATTAGCTAGGGCCAACCGAACACTTGTCCCCATGCATCTGTACCTTGATGCCTTTTTGACATCAAAATGGGATTGTTGAGATGAGTAAATATCACCAAAGTGGTATCTGTCAGCTTATCCCAACTAACTAGCTATGCTTTGGTCTCAAAGACGGTATATAAATGATGGCAGTTGCCCCTGATTTTAGGTTGTGCATTTTGAAGTCTAAGAATTATTTTTAATCCTGCTTTAACCCTTGATGTTGCCACTCGCATGGTAGTATCCGGTAGTGCATGGTAGTACCGACAAGCAGGTCTTGCTGTTGGTAACCCACCTTTGGAAGTAGCAAGGTAGTTGTTTTTTTATCTAAATGTTTCCCCGATGCTAACTAGCAGACTCCAGGTTTTCCTGTCTCGTGTTTCTCGTGTTTTACCAGCTGACTGGCCAACCGGCCAGGTTGCTAGGTAGCTAGCTAGTTCATTGTTGATATTCCTAATTAATGTGGCTGATGGCAAGTGCAAAACTGCAATACTAATGTCTGCAAAGAAACATGGATGAAAACAGCAGCGTGACTGTTCGTACTGGAGTTTTACAACCAAAAAGTAGTTATTCTCCAGTTAATCAATGATTTCTATGTTCAGTCTGTCTTTTTATGTATGCCACAGGGGAGTGGGGGGATGAAAAAGGGGATTACGGTTGTTTCCTGTTTCATTCCAGAAAAGCTGATATGATTTTGCTGAAGACATTTATGGTTTTTGATGATGGTCTTTTTTAAGAGCTAAAAGACTTTGATGCATCCTGTGTAATTTGGCAACAACAGAACAATAAAGAAAACATTTTTCACAGTCTTGCAAATTGTACTGCAGTACAGTCTCCTCTTGGAACTGTTAGTGCTGTGAAATTACAAGAAGCCAGCTTTGAAGAATGTGTGTTGTGATGTGTACTGAGCCACCAGCTTTCTGGCAATGTGTTTGATTTGATTTGATTTGATATACCTTTATTAGTCCCACAAGGGGAAATTTCATAAGGCTGCCGACCTATTGCACGCAATGGCGGCGCCGTCTTACCCTCTGACCATACATACATTACACAAAACATCACATGGGGAAGACAGGTCAGAGAGGTATAACAATGGAAAAATGCACCACATGAGGAAAGAGAAAAAAATAACTCCCCCCAGACTGAGCTCCAATAGGGAGATCAGTTTGAGAACAGAAAAAAACACCTCTGCACATAGCACATGAAAAAAACTCTTAATGCACCAAAGAAACACATGACAAGCAACAGGGATGGGTAAAGGGTGAGAGACAGCCGATTGAGACAGTATATCCGGGCCTGCAGCCTGTGCGCTGGTCTCCTTGATCCACCGTCAGCATCGGAAGGGAATAAGATTTATAAGATGTATGTGTGTGCGTGTCCAGAGTTCGGCAGAGACAGTGTCCTTCACCCTGCTAGGCTAAGTAAACAGTCTTCCAGCCAATCCAGGTGGCCTTGCATGGAATGGGAAGAACAGACTAAACACAGTCGTTATCAGGGTGTTTTTGTTCGGCTCCAGCCTTGAGACCGCAGCTGGTTAGGATTAGGGTTAGTATTAGGTTTGCCTGTAAACCTATGTATGGAATTCTCCTATTTGACACACAAATGGATATCCTATCATACAGGTACTGTAAGGCCAGAATGGTGGAAAAAAACTTGATTTTAAGGGTAACATGTTGTAATCTGTGATTCTAGGCTTTCTTAGCATAAAATGCAATCTAACCCTACGCTTAAGTGGTTTGTCAGTGAGCTGGGGGAATTCAAGAAGTCGATGTTACACAATGTCCTTTTATTTGCCTTCTAGGTGGATTATTAAACAATGGATGACACAACAGTCACTGACCTCAAAGAGTCAACATCAGAGCAGTCAGTAAATCGGATTTACACTCATAAACCTGGGACCACCAGGCTGGAAGAACCACACAGCAGATTTATCTTCCTTTGATTTGAAAGGAATCTGCAAAGAAGTCACATTGATGGATTTAATTAAGGACGTTTTTGACTGAAACCCCGAGTTGTCTGAAAAATAACCGCAAGTCATTTTGACGCCGTGTTTTGACACATCTGAGTCACCTGTTCCATGTGGTCAATGGGCTTGCTCTTTTCTCACACCTTTTGGACTCTAGATTTATCGTGATGCTGCTTTTTTCTGTTGCGCTCTCGGAGTTTCCCACAAGCGGAATTTGACTATCGACAACATGCCTCTGCTCAAAGTCAGGAAAATCAGGACTTTTGCTCTCCTTTTTTGTGTGATTACATTTACAACTTTCCTGTTCAGCTATACCTTCCGGGACCCTTCACTCTACTTCTTTAAGTACGCATTTCGCCTGTCGGACAACTTCTTCTCCAAAGGGCTGTGTGCCTGTCGTCAGTGCATAGCAGAGCTGGAGGATGACCCGTGGTTCGCCGAACGCTTTAACCAGTCCATCCACCCTCTGATGACCAGAGAGAATAGTGCCCTCTCGGATGAAACCTTTAAGTGGTGGCAGGTAAGATTCAGGGGATGTGTGTGGGGGGAATTTGCAATGCTGTTTCTACACAAGATTGGTAATAAAAAAGCGCATTCAGCATTCGAGAGAAGGTGAGGTGCTGAAAAGGAAAGATCATGAATAAAGAACAGAGTTTACACACTGCTGTAATGCTCCCACGACACATTTGTGTTTGCCACATTGATTGTTTCAAATCCAACAAGTCCTTACCAGGATCAAGTTGTGAAGCAAACTCCCACGCACAATTTGTTCATATTTAACAAGCAAGATGGAGAATATGGAAATTCTCTCCCAGAGAATCTGTAGATAACGAGAGACATTTTCCATTCATGACTTGAAAGTGTAAAAGATGCTTGAACTGTTCACTCACTGGAATCTGTCTCCATCACACTTTAGGCCAGGGTTGTCAAACTCCTGTTACATTGTAGGCCTTAGTGTTGGGCCACTTAAGTGAGCCGATGTTGTACCGCGGATGGTGCCCCCGACAAAATTTGTTTCCCCTGCGTCGGGAGTGTTCGCTGAGCAGGGAGGGATCCAGTTTACTCCGCCTCCATTACAGTCAAGTAGACGTGAATGTAGTGATGTTTTAGTTTTGTAAAAAAGTGAAAAATGAGTGTTGTTGCATTGCATTGTTGAGCGTTACAACAGAAAATCATACATTTATTGTTCTCACGTGGTATTCAATGGGATTATTTCAACAAACCAAGAACATTTTGCCTGATAATTATTTGTATCCTCCTGTAACTTTACTGTTTAAAGAGCTAAAACTTCCAAAGTTTCAGGAGTAATAAGTCATTATAAGAAGTGTTTGGGAACTAAAAATCAAGAATGTGAGATCCTTTTTGTTTGTGATTTGGAGAGCCCAACACATGCTCCCGACGCAGGGGAATCAAAATTTGATTCCCCTGCGTCGGGGGCATGTGTTGGACACCGGGACCAGTGAAGTCAGTGTAAAGAAGGTTAAATATACATGTAGATATCTTATTATAAGGAAAAGAAGTTAAATTTTTAACAGTACATGTCAGTTTTTCTACATGATAAAGAAATGTTGCTGAGGTAAATGAAAGGAAATTTGCCAACATGACTCTTTGGACTTAAATTGCAAAGTTCAGGTAGCTCATTGCTCTCACTGTCCGGTAAATATGAAACAGTTTCTGCTAATTCACAGAAAGTCCCTTGTTTCTTATTTTTTTAGCCATACCCATTTAAAAAAAACAATTTTTATAGTCAGTAGTTAAAAAAATAGCAGAATTGTTTATCGTTAATGTAAATACTTTGGTGTGGTATTAAAGGTTATAACTTAATTATCAGTAAATGTTGTAAAACATATTAAAAAATATTTCACATTTTCCAAACCCATCCAGTGGGTCAGATTTGAGCTCAAACCGGGCCGTTTCTGGCCACCGGGCCTTATGTTTAACACCCCTGCTGTAGGCAGTTAAACAGTCATAAAACTAGTTTAGCAGTAAACTTTTACAAGAGCTTTCAGAAAGCTTTACTTTAGTGACTTTGTTGCTAGAAAGTTAACAAAAACATCGGTAACACTGTATGTCTGTTTCCTTGTAATAACAAACCACAAGGAACGCAACTATCTCGCATGGCTCTGTTCCCAAATCACAAACATTTGAAGTTCACTAACTTGACTAATATTTCACCAAAATTATAACATTTTCATCACTGCAAGTGACAAAAAGTGTGAGGTACAGGACCTCATTTCTTTCAGAAAAGGTTTGGCTAATGCTTCGTGACAACTTTCCTCTGAATGGGCTGCCCTACTCTAAACAGCAGAACATGTTTTACTATGTTTTGTAAATCCTTTTCTACTGACATCATATGGAGATAAGAATTGAAAAAATCAACCTCAACCTCGCATCATTTGAAATCTCGGCCACACTTAAGATGAGCATCCAACGCTGTAACATACAGTGGGGCAAAAAAGTATTTAGTCAGCCACCAATTGTGCAAGTTCCCCCACCTAAAATGATGACAGAGGTCAGTAATTTGCACCAGAGGTACACTTCAACTGTGAGAGACAGAATGTGAAAAAAAAAATCCATGAATCCACATGGTAGGATTTGTAAAGAATTTATTCGTAAATCAGGGTGGAAAATAAGTATTTGGTCAATAACAAAAATACAACTCAATACTTTGTAACATAACCTTTGTTGGCAATAACAGAGGTCAAACGTTTACTATAGGTCTTTACCAGGTTTGCACACACAGTAGCTGGTATTTTGGCCCATTCCTCCATGCAGATCTTCTCGAGAGCAGTGATGTTTTGGGGCTGTCGCCGAGCAACACGGACTTTCAACTCCCGCCACAGATTTTCTATGGGGTTGAGGTCTGGAGACTGGCTAGGCCACTCCAGGACTTTCAAATGCTTCTTACGGAGCCACTCCTTTGTTGCCCGGGCGGTGTGTTTTGGATCATTGTCATGTTGGAAGACCCAGCCTCGTTTCATCTTCAAAGTTCTCACTGATGGAAGGAGCTTTTGGCTCAAAATCTCACGATACATGGCCCCATTCATTCTGTCCTTAACACGGATCAGTCGTCCTGTCCCCTTGGCAGAAAAACAGCCCCATAGCATGATGTTTCCACCCCCATGCTTCACAGTAGGTATGGTGTTCTTGGGATGCAACTCAGTATTCTTCGTCCTCCAAACACGACGAGTTGAGTTTATACCAAAAAGTTCTACTTTGGTTTCATCTGACCACATGACATTCTCCCAATCCTCTGCTGTATCATCCATGTGCTCTCTGGCAAACTTCAGACTGACAGACACTGGGTGAATGTGCAGTAGTAGCAGCAAGCAGGTGAATTCTGTACATTAATATGAATAGACATCTGACTATTTTACAGGATAGACAATATAAACATATTTAAAATTAAAGGAATTGAAATGTACATTGTGCCTTGGTTTAGTGTCTGGAAGAGTTGAAGTTGAAGTGAAGTGTACCTCTAGTGCAAATTACTGACCTCTGTCATCATTTTAAGTGGGGGAACTTGCACAATCGGTGGCTGACTAAATACTTTTTTGCCCCACTGTATATGCATGAGAGGAAATGAGACAAAGCATAAAAGTCTCTGTTTAATGTTACTATTACTGTAACAGTGAAAACTCAGTGCATCCCAGTCTTTTCAAGTCACTGAAGTCTCCATCTGGCAACTGTCTAGTGTCAGACTAAACATAATGTATTTGTTTTGACATGAGCACCATGACTTGACATGGCAGTCAGCAGAGGAATTGTTATCTCTGCCTCTTCCAAGATGGATTTTGTCACCTGTGTGATTGCTGGGCATCACTGACTAAATGGCCCCCTGAGAGTAGAAGCCCTTGGATGCAGAGTGACAGGAAATCCAGTTTTTTTACTGTTATTTACTGAGATTTCCCCCATATCAACCTCCATTTTCTCTCCACCGGAAAAAAATCTTAATGGATGTCACGCCCCCTACATTTGGCCTGTCGCGTGTGGGGAACATAAAACGCAGCAAACATAAAAAGGAATCCACGGTCGCTGGATACCATGGCGCTTAGTGTTTTATGGATCCCTTGCCCCATCTACATAAGTACTTATGTACCAGCCCAATATATAGTTTACTTTCTCTATATGTCATCATTAAACTGCAGCTCTCTAAATCAGAAAGAGCTATTCACAGAAATGATCCTACCTTTGTGTGGAAGGCATCCAGTATTCCCACATTCACCTCACACCATGTCCAATTAGAGGCAGGAATAGGCAAATTACTGCAAGGTTGCCTCCTGTCACTATTCATTCCAGAAAGTGCTTCTCACAGGAAGCTTGATGAGGCAAGCATCACATATCAACGGTTGCCCGGCCAGATGGTGTGGCCTGCTCTGCTCCAAGGCAAGGGCATGACCATAAGGTGCATCTGAGCACTTTTCTCCAAGGAGCTGTCACAGTTTACATGTTACACAGCTAAATGTAATTCCTGCATCAATTGCTGCATATTCTAAACTTGCCTGCTGTCCACCTAAAACCTTATTGCCCAGTTGTTTAAATATGATAGAAAAGGCTGAATGAAAATTTTGAACCACATGTATCCAAAGCCATGCTTTAAAATTAGATTGATGTAGAATGTCCTGTATCCATTCAGCAGACAGCACACGCACATTCCTGCGCTTATTTGCTGACTCTCCGAGTTCAAAGCTGCCAGAAGAAAGCAGGGCCAAAAGAGCCCCCGCAGACGGAGCTAAGCCGCCCCTCAGGTTCTTTCAGAAATGTGCTCGGTGTCTTGAGCTCCACTGCCCTTGTTCAATCACTTCTACTTAAAGTGGCCCTGGAGCTGTGTGTCTGTCTCTGAGGCCTGCATGTGCTCTGTCACCAGTGGTTGCAGTCAGAGAGGCAGCCGGCCAACTTCAACGAAGTGGTGGAGGAGCTGTTCCAAGTCATCCCCGATGAGGTGCTTTACATGGATGCCGGTCCCGAGCGCTGCAGGACTTGCGCCGTCGTGGGGAACTCCGGGAACCTGAAGGGGTCCCATTACGGTGGCCTCATCGACTCTAGTGATTTCATCATAAGGTCAGTAAACACGTCAATCAGAGGTTTGATTTTGAAGCTCTCACTTCTATTTACTCTGCACTGTGAAAATTGAATTGTGGATCTGTTGCTTCACTCTGCTTGGGCAGAGTGAATTTAAGAGTTGAATTTAATTTTTCAAGCTTCACAAGTCAGTTCATGTTATGAAAGCATCACACGAGGGCAAGGTAGCTGCTGGTGCAGCCTGTCGTTAGACATCAGAATTACAAAAAAACAAGAAGAAAGAAAAGCAAGCGGCAACCTCTGAGCTGAAAACTGCCACACAAATGTCAAAAATTGCAGTTCCCCTAATGGGCACATGAGGATGATTCCAAAAGCAAGACTTCCATGTAAAATTCCCAACCAAACAACATTAAAAAGTATAATTACAGCCTGGTACAATAGCAGCTTTACCCTCTGTGGAGGCCCAGCATCACAGCCCACCATGGTTGAACTGAGCTGGATGTCTCTACCCTGGAATTATCTGACTAATAATATGGCCTACTGCCTACTGGTACAGCTCCACTCCTGACTAAAAACACTGGGTATCTGGGACAGGTCGATATGTGCGACTGATACAGTTCTTTCTTGCTCTGCCTTTAAGTGTGCCATGCTTTAGCTTGGAGTAAGAGAGCTAACATACCACGGAGGAAGGTCATTTTGAAGGTTCAGTAGCTTGGAGGTTTTTCAAACCTGCGATACCAAAAGCTTTTCTTCTTATTTTTACGGTAGTTTTTGATTTATTTGCAAACTGTGGTTAAGTATTCCGACGTAACTGAAGAGCTCAGATGATGACGCTTCTAGCTCTCTCTTTCACTCCCTTTCATTATGTTCAAGGCAATATTTGCTTTTATTGCACTCATGGTTAGAGAACATTTGATTAATATTGACTAGATTAATATTATTTTGCTCCATCTGTCTTTTGTCAGCACATCTCCATATATGATATGTGGTGTGTGAGGAGGTGTGCTTACAGGCAGTGCAGGGAAAGTAAAGATGAGCACAGCTTTAAACAGCCACAGTAGATGCAGTAGCTTACTAACTACAGACTAGTGTAAATTTGAAAAATGAATAACTTGCTTACATTTTTTTGGGATTTATTTAGGTTCTGTTGCCATTTACTATTTTACTGAGATCACCACTTATATTTTAGAACGATAAAATGTGTTGTCTTATATATGAAATGATACAGATATTTGGTGCTTTAAAAATCTTTCAGCTGTCAAAAACATAAACAGACATTCTAAATATTTTTATGTGAAATTATTTGTATTTTTATTGTTTTTTTTTAGTTAAGAATAGAAATATGGGGGTGCAGAATAAAGGTATTTTATTGTCATAAGAAGTTGTGGAGTACTTGTTTACGTTCTCCCTGACTCTGCTAGGATCAGTTCCTTGTTTGTGCGTTTCCAAACATGTGTGATGCCAAGTTGCAGAGTGCCCCTGGTGGACAAAATGTGTAATATCAGCCCAGATTACATGGTTGAAGGGTGTTTCTCCCTTCTCTTTTTTACTTTTTAAAATCCCATTTATCGCTTGTTATAATTGCAGACACCAATAGATCAGCAAGTAGCTAAATATCAAGGTCAATATATCAGACAGGGTTTAAATTTTGCACTCTAACAAGAAGGCTTCTGCTTTGAAGCCCACACTGTAGTTTCATCCATCATTTATAACCAGTCTATTAGTTGTAGACGAAGAAAGTTTGCTGGCAGCTGGCATCAATAATAATGATTGCTAGCTGAAGCTTAGCTACTTTGCCTTTCAAGTGGCTGGTTGTTGTTATGACTACCATAAAGAACATCAGGCATGCCTACATCCCAACACTGAAGCAACATGTATATTTCAATAATAAACTCTACTTCTTAGATATTTCATAAGTTCAAAATAATATTAAAATATTAACTATACTTATTTCCCTATATCGTATGAATATATTCTTTCCAGCTAATTACTGCTACGACAAACTCAAATAGAGCAGAAAGTCGTGCAGTAAAATGATTAGAAAACACTGTAGCCAAAATATGCTTCCCATTTAATTTAGAGATAATACTGAAAGAAGTCTGCTCAGGGCTGAGTGCACCATTGACTCTATGAGGTCTTGTTCTCAGTGTGTATTCTTGGAATGTGAGAATCTGGCATTCTTTAAACTCATCTCTATATTTAGAGATAGATCTATAGATATAGAGGTAGAATATTAAGGCAGTGAAAGATTTCTAATATTTAGGTCATCATTCCTGGTTATGCCCCTAAAATAATTTTTACTTTGCTGGTACAACAAATCAAAGTCGGCCCAGGAACCTGGTTAAATGTGCCAGATGTTTTATCATTTTTAATTTTGTCTTTGTTCTTTCATTTCATAATTTATTAACCTGGAGGCATCCTTGTCTTACTGTTATTGCCTCGTCAGATGTCTTTTCTTTCCCTGGATTTAAAAATGAACTGAGGGGTTTGCTGCTTTTAACAAAAGCAGCTCTTGCTTGTTCAGTCCAACCAGTATTTACCGCCACAGAAGATACAAAAGTTCTGCAGTTAACTATCAAAATTTTCAGCTTAACAAAACTTTTACTATGCAAATTTCTATCGGTGTTCTGCTACTGGAAACCGAATTCCCCAGAGGAACCTACCCAATGGATTAATAATGATCTGTCTCTTAGGACTGCGCGATATATCGAGTTTTTAAAAAATATCGATATATTTTCATACAAGATATAAGATATGACAATATCGTTTATATCGTCTATGTTACGTTATAATTATACTTGTGGAGCCACAAGTTTGCCTCTCTTTCGTCCACTTTTGTCTCTATGCAACGTTACTGGGCCTCGCCTCTCCTTCACTGAACACAACTCCTCCTCCCCCATCACTTCACCCGCAGGCAACGACAAGATGGACACGACAAGTCTCCGTTAACGAGTTACCGCGGATCGCCCGTGCGTGGGGCTGCACGCCGTCAACCGCGAGCTAACCGCGCTAACGACATGCATGGCCTAAAATCCTTTCATTTTCTCAAAAACCGACATTGCGCCTTATGGCCATAAATGGCACCTGTTAAGAGACACGGTTACGAAGCAGATTTCAAACTCCAGGCTGTCAGCCACACAGTAGAACATGGGAATAGAGCAGCTGTGAAATCTGTCTTTGTTATTATGCTCAGCGTCTTTTAGTTTACATTTTGACTGCACAATTGTGAGCTTTTTGTTATGCACAAAAACAACATTGTTTTCTTTTATTTATGGAGCATTATTATTTAATAATATTATTTTTGAGTAATTTCTTCATGTACATCTACGTTAATAAAAGTCCCTGTGTGACATCCGGGACACAGCTTTGACTAAGAACTCTCTTTGTGTTCTTACCTTATGGCTTAAAAAATATATATCAAGATATATATCGTATATCGCCATCCAGCTAAAAAATATCGAGATATGAATTTAGGTTTATATCGCCCAGCCCTACTATCTCTCTATCTATCTTATTATTGCCATAGACTGTATATAAAAGATGGACATAGTCGCCATGACAAAAGTGGCTGCATTTAGATGAACATTTAGTTACTAAATGCAACAAAAAAATTTATGGGTCCATTACACAGACACTGATACTTGCTAACCTGCTAAATGCTATTGTCTATTAAATGGACCAAACACCCAACATACATATAACATACATATAAAGGAGTAAAGCATAGAAACAAGTTTGTTTTTGTGTTTTCGTTTTGTTCTTTGTCAGGTTGTAAACACAGATTTCAATACTGTTAAGTTGGAAATTCATTTTAACATCTATGACGTTTGGAGACACAGAGGCTCAAGTGGTCGTTAGAGGAACTGCAGTATTTGGCACACATAAAGTATGTGTCTTTGTGATCTTGTTTTAAAAGAGTAGATGCACTTCGTTTTTATTTCACTGATTTCTCTCATGACTCATATCTCTCTCTCTGTATTTGATTTGCCGACTGCGCTCATCAGTCCTGTCTCACTCACACATTTATGCTCTGCCGTGAAGCTTTCCAGAAAGAAAGGTGGGGCTAGAGATTTGACTGTCCCACATCCTCATTCTGGGTTAGATAACCATTTGAGTAAATTGCCTCAACAATGCAGGAGATAAAAACCATGCAGTTTGAATATTATAATGTTTCTCCCGTGCCTTGCGGTGATGAGAAACAGAAGAAGAGTCTGTTGCTCTCTGTGTTCTCACATATCAATTACAGCACAGCAGAGAAGGAATTTGAATAGATAAAAAACAACAGAGTTTGCTCTCTGAGGTATAAATGACAAGAATGTACATGAAAGGGTTAAAAAACATGCTCGCTCAGACTTTGTTGATGCTGTTTCTCCAGAGTAGAGAAGTCACTGATTGCATTCTTAAACAACTTAGGAGAAAAATCAAATTGATAGTTATTATATCTGAAGACTGAAGTGTAGTACAGCTTGTTTTTTTTAAAGCAGATTAACACCAAAATTTAAAAGATGACTTGAAGAAGATGAGGATGACCACTTAAAGACAAAACCTTGCTTCAAATGTGTTTTCAACTTTTCAATTGGCACAAAACATAAAACAATTAAACAAATACTATAACATTGATGCCAAACTGAAGCCTTTGCTATGTCCTGATTCTGTTTTATCACTTTGCAGTTTGGATTTGAATGAGACTTGTTGAGCTCTGACTCAGAATAAGCTAAAGGCTGCAGGGGTGGGAAATGTATATTCCTCGAGAGTGGATTTGTATTATCTAGAGGGAGTTCTCAGAATAGTATTTAACAACTCTGAAGGCTGTTACAGTCTGCATCGGAATTATCCTCTGCAACTACAAGAGATAAAACTTCATCAGTATTCAAAGTTTTTTTTTCTGAACAATAATGTCTGCACTACAGATTGTGAAATAGTTTTATTAAATACCATACCTACTAAATGTTTTATATCAGATCAGAATTGATTAGTGAACAGTAAGAAGAGGGTTAAAAAAAACAAAAAAAAATAAAACAATGCATTTCACCCAGATC